CTGTGCACATGTTTATTGTACTGTGCACATGTGAAATGTCCTGTGCACATGTTTATTGTACTGTGCACATGTGAAATGTCCTGTGCACATGTTTATTGTACTGTGCACATGTGAAATGTCCTGTGCACATGTTTATTGTACTGTGCACATGTGAAATGTCCTGTGCACATGTTTATTGTACTGTGCACATGTGAAATGTCCTGTGCACATGTTTATTGTACTGTGCACATGTGAAATGTCCTGTGCACATGTTTATTGTACTGTGCACATGTGAAATGTCCTGTGCACATGTTTATTGTACTGTGCACATGTGAAATGTCCTGTGCACATGTTTATTGTACTGTGCACATGTGAAATGTCCTGTGCACATGTGAAATGTCCTGTGTGCAGCTGTGATTATTGAGACTCTTCTAGCTCCATATTTTTCTTTATGTTTTACCTCCAACTACAGTAAGAAATGTCAGTTTTCTCATGTGAAAAAAGACATGTGGAACACGACTTGTGTTAAGTCTTAACAACTTGTTGGTCCAAATGTGATGAAGTCTGACCAATCAGTGAACACATCCCTGTATGACATCATAGAGCTAATACCAATGTGTTTTATCATGCAGCTGCATTCAACCCATAGTGTTGTAATGACACGTCCACACACTGCTCATTGTGTGAATGTTGTGTGTCAGTGCAGCAGTGCAACACAAACAAGCACTGATTTTTGTGTCCAGGCGAATATGAGTCAATCACAGCTAACGTTAGCAAGGTGTGTGTCATTTCCTGCTGCTAATACAAGAAGAGCAGAGTCATGCTAGCTGCCCTGGTTTGGTCCAGTCTGCTGTCATTTCAACAAACCCACATCAGAGTCATGATGGAGGAGAAACACCAGGTCTCCATCAGTCCTCTGAGCCTAAAGCCACTGATGAAGACTGACAGAGGCCTGAAAACACCGCCCAGCCCATGGCGGACAAGTCGCTGAGCGTGGTGAAGCCCCCCCATCCGTGCATCACGGAGAGGCTCCACCACGCTCAGCGTGGTGGAGCCTCTCCGTGATGCACGGATGGGAGGGATCGGTGCATCGTGCAAGGAAGTCATTTCTTGGGCGTGGATGAGGAGCAGAGGAGACCTCCAGAGGAGTAAAAATAGATACAACGTTACTGAGACAATGTCCCCCCCATCACTGAGGAGGAATAAGGAGGGAAGGATGGGCAGTTGAGAAGTATCTAAGAGGCTATCAGGGGGATTATCCAGGCCAGACCAGTCCCAAGAGAAGGGGCTGTGGAAGGAGGAGGAGGAGGAGGAGGAGGGAGACTAGGCCTTAGTAAATGAGCTCCTGACATCATGAGAGGAAAAACACATAACTGCATGTTTGTGCTTCAGTTTCCGCCAGTTTGTGAGGCTTTAACACACACAC